CGACCATACCTTGGCCACTACCCATGCCTATTTTTGTCGGTTTCATTCCGTCTTAGAGCGGTGTCTGTCGTTTCATTATTGGAACGTGTCGTTTCCTCTATGACTCTAATTGGAATCTCTCTGATTTGAGAAATGGAGAACAAGTTTGGATCTGGGATCCAAGAATAAACGATTACGTTTTCATCATTTGTGGGATGGAATTATATATGTCTCATTTTATCTATAGTCGGATTGTGTTTTTGATGTTTCTCTTGGCTTTCCGAAACCAACAAAGTGATGCTGGTAGAAAAACTAGAGGAAAATGGGTCATAATGTCTCAGCCCATCATTTGGAGTAGACATATGTTTTTGTTGGAATTTAAGTCCATCAAAGCAAATAGCTGGGTTGATTTTTGGCGGTTTTATGCAGATTTCATCATGTATTGGCGACAACCTCCATTTAGCATTGGTCAGAACTGGTTGAGAAGGAATTTATCAGTGAATTTCAGAGAGGAATTTATGGTTAAGACTAGGTCGGGCAGTGGTGCACATAGGCAAATACGATATGTTTCACGGAGTTTTAGAAGGCATGATTCAGAATCATCTTCAACAACAATTCAATTAATTCTTCTAATAAAAGTAATGCTGCGAAATGCGTTTTGGAGTTTCATTCTGCAAGATGATAGCTAACAAAGAGTTTATGAAAGAGAGATATAACAGATTTTATCTGTTAGCTTATTAAACTCCCGAAAGGATAGCATAGTTACTCTTCACACTTTTATCGAAATTATTTCAATTTTCTTTATTTACGTTAACGGTTGTATGGATAATGTTTCTGTATTTTGTATACTTTTTCTGATATGAATACATTTGATTTGCCGAAAAAAATAATATAAGATTTCTTTACATCACAAAACTTGACCAGCTTACATTTCTATTAACCAGAAGTATGATACATGATACTGCTCATAGTTTATGAATTATAAACCAAATTAAATACATATATCTCTCGATGGAATTTTCTTGTATAATTTTTTTGGTTTTATAACGGGATCCAGTACCAACAATGTGTCAGCTAGTTATATATGATATGTTTCAATTTAAACACAAGTTAGAGAACTGTGTCAAGTTTTTCAAAACATAAAAGTAAACTTGGGTTTCCAAGATCATTGTCTGTGATTTTGATCTGCTGCCAATGGAAGCGTCAATAGGTCCGCACGTAGAAATCCTCCGAGGTAAATGTGATTCGAGCGTTTGGCCACCACATCGATCTTATTATATATATATTTTTATTATTATTTTTTTTTAGAAGTTGACTATATATATATTATATATAATTGTTACCATGTAACTAAAATTTGGGCATATGTTAATCATGAATGACTAAGTATTACAATATTCGGTCATGATGACGAATCTAGAGTTGTTCGGGAGTAGAGGTTGTTTAATACAATTGGGTGCAGAGAATGCTCATTAGAGCTCAAAAGAACGTATTACGTGTAACATGACGAGTCAGGGTGTGTGTACTCGTTGTGAATAGATAAGATGGAAGTGATTTGTGACTGGGTCCCTGAGTGGCCATGGTTGTGAATGGAATCGTTGATATACATATATTAAATATATTTATTGATTTACTTATCTATTTGGTATAAAAGTTTCACCAAGTTTTTGTTGGTTAGACCATCTTTAATGCAAATTTCTATTTTTTATTCTAAAATTAACTCCAAAATGGAGTTGTGTTTTGCTCCAATGTATTACTCCAAATTTGACTTTAAAAAAGAATATTTCTTTATAGATTCTTTTTTTCTTTTATAACTAACAACTTATAATTTTAAAAGTTACAAAAAACTCTTTTATTTTATTTAAAACATTTTATAATTTACAAATTTAATAAAATTAAATATTTATTAAATCAAGAAAATTACATAATATCATAAAAATATAAGAAAGCAATTTAGTAGATTATTAAATTGTTCGTATTTGTTATGTTAAATTTTCATGTTGCTTATCTTTAATTTCAGCACTTGTTATGCATTTTTCAGTTTAGTTTAAGTTGCAATCTATTGAAATAAAAATTTTAGTGTTCAAATATTTATAATTGTCTAATTTATATTGCTTACAACTATTAAAGTTCTTTAATCATGTAAAAAAACCTTATAAAAATGAATAATAAAATTAAAATTAAAATATAAAACCTGTGTCAATAGTTATATATATATATATATATATATAAAGACCATTTTTTAATTACATACATAGAAAATTCAAAGTGATATGTGTTTGAATATCTGAAAAAAATACATATACAATGTTGAAAATAAATATTACTGTGTTGATAAGAAAAATATAAAATGTAATTATTTAATATTTCAAGGATCAGTTTATAAATAAAAAAGTATAGCTGCAAAATGGAGTAGAATAAAGGTTTACTCCAAATATGGAGCAATCTCTTTTTTCTCCATTTTGCAGTCAAAAATGGAATTGGGTTGGAGTGAAATTTACTCCAAAATGGAGTTTGCAGTAAAAAATAGAGCAGATGCACATTTTTTCAAAAAAATATTTTAGAAATCAGAACTCAGAGGGTAAAAAGTCTCAGCTTAAGAATTCACGATACAAAAGATGGTTATTGAAAAAAGATGTACGACTTTCGTAAGCATTTAGGTCTAGCTAGTAGATAGTTTAAAATAATTTACAAGACTTTTGTGCTATATTATATTATTTTTAAAAGTGATATTATGAAACCATAAATAAATAGTTGATCTAAACCATTATACTATTATGGTTAGTAGAAATGATGTTATGTTTTAGACCATTAAAAATTTTGGTGAATAGAACACCGTATGGTAAAAGTTTGTATCATATATCCCCTAATTAAAAAAATAAAGAGAAAATAAAGTGTATAAATACAATCATAGTAATCACTTAGCCAAAAAAATCATAGTAAACTCAAGAAAAGATTTGATGAATCAGGTTCGATTACAAAGTAATTAATGAAGCTATCGATTAGAGTATCCAATAATTTAGGAGGCATTTTTAGTTAATTACGTTTATTATATCTTTTATCAATGTTTATATGTAACAAAATTATTGACTTTTTATAGTAGTAACAGTTAAAAGGCTTTACTTGTGAATTTTTCTTTCATAAATATTGTTAAAATATAATTGAGTGAATTTAATGAATGATCGATCTTGCAAGTAGAAATACAAAAAAATCATATTTCAACAAATAATTTTGTATTTCTACTATTTTTATTTTCTCTTTTCAAAATGGTTCATTGTGTTGCTTTGTTTTATAATTTTTTTCTATTAATTTTATTTCTGATTTAATAATATATAAAAATTGTATTGAAAATAATTTGGAGGAGCAAAATATGTATCTTGCGGATCAAATATTATGGATTATGGAAATCGGATAATGAAGTGAACACTTTGAACCTCAATTTAATTTTCTTCTAAATTTGATATATTCTTAGCATATTTATTTTATGTGTTATTTTTTTGTAAAATGTTTAGGAATTTTTATATTAAGTTAATGCTAACATTATGGTAATATTATCATTATATATGTATTTTATAATTCTATATCAAACACAATCAATAATACATTTTTTTTTCTTCAGACTTTACAGAATTCACTTCATAATCAAGTTTTGATATTCTACAATAATTGATTTTCAGGATACATATCATGTTCTTTCATGTTATCTCTAATAGTATAATAGTATACGTGATTCAACCAAATGTAAAGCAACATAAAATGATAGACCGACATTATGTATGCACTTTATTTAAAATTTTTACTGAAATCTAATATACATTCAAGTAAAATATACATTAGTTATAAACCAATAATATTTTCATATATTTTTTCGGTTTCGAGTCTTTGAAAAACGAAAAATGAAGTTTGGGTCTTGCGGACATTCCTAAAACACGAGGCATGTGATGGGACCCAACTTGTAAACACAACGCAACAATTTAAGATTCAATAACGACCTTTCATTGTCTATCTTCATTCTACCCAACTTGGACCGACAGATTAGGCTGATTTATCTTCATCTTGCCTTGAGCGTGTTATCCACGCTCGACCTCTTTCTCAAAACTTATTAATAAAAAAAAAAATTAACTAAAGAAAAAGCCACCGTTAATTTCATTTGAAAGTTTCACCATGTAGATTACACGTAAAGAAACGAATACACATTTTTAGTTCACTACTTTATCTTTTTTTTTTGGGTAAAATACTACTACTTTTATATTTCGGTGAATGATTTATTAAAAAATTGCTTTTCTTCTTCTTTTTTTGTAGTATTTTTAAGTTACCATTAATTACGGAAGAAATAAAAGAGTTTGAATTACTTGTGAAAATGACTTTTATCATGTGAGAATCTGACAAGTCTTGTCTTTAAGTTTTGCAAATTGACATGATTTTTACGCGCACGGAAAGATAAGAAACATTGAAAAAAGGTTAAAAAATATCAAGTATGAACGGTTGAGTTCTAGTCCTCTTACCCTTATCGTCAACAGCACATGAAAAATAGATATTAGATTGATAGTAATCTTCTCTGTTGCATATAGATATTATTCTTTTTTTCTGAATTCGTTACCCAAACCATTTTACAAACAAAATAAATACACTCTCCGTTTCACAAAAAATGTCGTTTTGACACTTTTTTTTTTCAAAAAGAATGTCGTTTTAGAATATTAATATAAATTGTGACATAAAATACTATTTTTAACCTCAAAATAAATTCAAAAAATTAGTTATAAATATAATTTTAAGAGTCATTTTTGTAAATTAATAAGGGTATAAAAGACTTTTTATATTATTTCTTAATTTGTGTGAAAAAAGAAATAGTATATAAAAACAAATCTCAAATCTCAAGTAAGGCGCAAAGCGCGTGGCATTTGACGCGACCAAAACGCAACTTGGACTTTGATTACCGAAGCCACCCAGATTCTTCACGCTTTCCTTATTTTCCAACACGGTCTCGTTGTATATAATAAGCAAAAACCTCATCGTCAATGTAAATCATAAAAACTCACAAAGATATTTCCAAAATTCGAAAAATCTCTCTCTATCTAGAAACTTCAAATTCTCTTGTTTTCTTGTTTGTTACCCTTTTGATTCTCATCATGAATTCGATGTTCAGTGCCTTCGACGCTCTCTTCGTTGAGGTTATGGGAAAGAACCTTATGGCTTCTTCGTTTAATGCTACCGCTACTGCCACCGCCAAACCTGCCGCAACTCAAACGCAAACGGAGAAGAAGGAAAACGCAAGTACTAATAAGATGGGTTTGGTGCAGAAGACTCCGAGGTTTGCTCTGGAGCTTGACGGTCTTCACTGCTTCGAGACAATAGTCCGTTCTTGATTTTGACTATTATTGATCTGTTCTTCTTGCCTGACCAGAAACGTTTGTTTCTGAGTTTTTTGTTTTTTTTTTTATATATTCTTTTTATTGATTATAACATGTAACTGTGAGTACAATATCGATCGATTTAATCGGGATATATACATTTTTTTGCTCGTCTTTCTGCTTCTTGATTCGTTAAATTGATTTTTTTTTTTTTTTTTTTTGAGTTTGCTCGAATTTCATCATATCAGAAAGTCAATTTCTTTAAAATCGAATCCGAAGTAAAACAATATATTAAACCGAAAAAATAAATTCGTTTGAAACTTGAGAACTTATAAAACAGAATTAAAACCAAACCAAAAACGAGATCAGGTATACCCTATTTGATTAAGTGGCGTAGTTTCATGCTTATATGATTTGTTTTGTTTGGTCTTTATAATTTTTTTTGTCAAAGAGTTTGGTCTTCTTAAGATAAATTTAATATTTTGGCATCTAAGCAATGGAACGAAGATGGTTAAACTATTGTTGTTTATTCAAGTACAAGAATAGATTCGTTTGAAATTTAAGAACCTGTAAACAGAATTAAAACCAAACCAAAAGGCATAAGTAAAGTTCAAAACACGCAAATTAAATGTGAAATTTGTCAAATAAATAAAGTCCAATCTTGCCAAGGTGTTGGTGGTTAGGTCATGGGTGTATGAACATGAAAACTAATCTTGAAAAACGAACTCGAATTTTCATCAACAAAAGAAAAACGAACCATGAAACTATTCAAACAAAATTGTCATCAATCACAATTCATGCTTTCTATTTCTAATGATGAATCCTACAAACTTTTGTTTTTGGTCAAACATCCTACAAACATGTATTGAGTTAAATTAAGAAGTCAAAAAATTCTTCAGAAGTTATATTTGAAATTCCATTAAATATTGTAGTTGATTTATATGATATAGGTTTGCTTATGTTTGACTCATACTAGCTAACTGCGAATACTAGAGGAAACCTTTCAAATTCAATAACAGTACTCTAAGAAATATTTGTCAATAACTGCGATTAGAAATCAAAGATTCAAATTATATATATATATATATATATATATTCATTCAATATTTAAATTATTTTCTCAACTTTAGATATTTATAAGAATTGTTTTCGACTTTTTGAAAATTTTGGGATTTTTAAAAAATTTCGGAGATCTAATGTAACTTTTTAAATATTAATATTGTATTATTAAAAATATAGAAAACGAAGATTATATTTCTGTTAAATCAAATGTGCTAATTTGTTAAAATCTGAATAAAATTCTATCCCAAGCGCCCGCACAGGAAATTATTTTTCTTGTTTAGCAAATTTTGTAATATAATTTGTGTTTTTTTATTTTAAATATAAATATTTTTATAGATATATTTTTGTAATAAGTAAAAATAATTACTTATTTATGTTTAAATATAATTTTTATAATATTAAAAAATATCATAATTATAAAAATATAATTTTAACCCATCCATCTATATTAATCCAAACAAAATCATGATTATAAAAGTATAATTTTAACTCGTCCGTTCATATTATTATATAATATAAATATTTATTAAAATTTTGAGATGTATTAGCGATATTTTATTTAGTAAAGAATATCTTATATAATTTTCTAAAATTTAATCCATAATAAGAGCATGTGATAATTTTTAATTTATTTTTTATGTTTTCTATTTTGTATGAAAAAAAAATATATTTTGGTATATATGTATGATTCAAAATCATTGTTAACCAAATTTTTTTTAACCCAGTTATATATATTAGTTCTATATTTAAAAAAAATATATATTTAAATTATACATTATATTTTTATCCATTGTTTTATTATTAATTTGTAAATAAAGCATAAACGTAAATATTTTATATAATTAAAATAAATATTATATCATTTATATCATATCATTTACACCATCAGAACTATTGTATATTTCAAATATGATCATTATTTTTCAGATGTGAATTAATGATTTGATAAAAAAATTAACAATATATATTATTTAAATTAAATTTAAATTAAATTTAAATTAATATCAGATTTATTATTTCTGTAAAGATAATAAGTTAAGAACTGATTTTTTATTTTTGGTAGATATTTTAATCTATATTTAAATAAATCTAAATTAATCTTAATTAATATTTGAATTTTGAAACTAAATTTATATAAGTAATAAAATAGTTTTTATTAATATTTGACTAAATTGACTAAATTCAAACAATTGAATACACATTGAGGAAAAAAAAAAAACAATTGAAACCACAATATGGAAAAGAAAAAAGTTACTTATTTGGAATCAAACCTATACAACATTTGGAATCTTTCTATCAAAAGACTCCATGAAAATATTTCTAAATCAAGGCCGGCTTCAAACTGTATTGAACAACTGATTTTGGATATTGAACTGTGTTGAACAACCGAACACCTGGAACATTGAAGAGGCATATGTAGATGACTTATGACCTTCTACATTAACCTATGCCTTTTTGACGTTTCTGAACTCCCTCTTGAACTAGGGGATCTATAAAATCTGCCAGAGATTAAAATGGACGTATTAGATATTGCATAAAAACTTATTTTCAAGAGAAAATTTAAATCCTAATTATGGTAACGTAACTAGGTATTTGTTAATCAAGTAATAAATTTTTTATTAAGTAGCAATCTCTAATAGATAGTTTGTAAATCCATAAAATAAAACATGGTAGCTTTGTTTTTATTCTTACTAAACTAAGAAAAACGTTAAATTAAAATAAAATATCTTATCATTTCATTTAGTAATACATAAGATATTCGATACAATAAAATAAAAATAGATAAAATTATATGAAAATTATCATTTGATCTTAATATAGATGCATGGCCACAACGATCAAGCTCTATGCATATTTTTGTTATTATATATATAGACTGCACCTCGTGTTTAGTATCATGGACACTTCACGCCTTTTAGTGAGCAAATACGATCCATCATATCCTTACCATTGGATTGGACATTGAACATCCCACTTTTAGAATCGATGCATATATTTCCACAAACTTCTTTGCATATTTCTACAGTAATTCCTGGATGTCTGATACAAAAGTTTGGGATGCATTGCTTTACGCAATCATCTATTGCTGCCTTGTCCGAATGAGAGGTGTGTACCAAAACAATCATCATGAACATACCAACAATCATCATCATGCTGCATATTTTCTTCGACATTTGAGACATGATGAGGTGTGACTGCAATATTGATCGTAATATATTCGACAAATTTGTTTTAGATGATCTGATAGAGAAACAAATCGGTGAATAATTTGAGGAAATGTTTAGTAGCATTACCTATTTTATATAGTAAAATCGTTTCTTTATTTTAGAAAATGAATTTACTGTTGCTAAGTTATTGTTTTTGGTTATCTTGTTGTTTGTTGTTTTTTTTGGTACTGTTTTTGTTTCTAAATATTTTTTATTCTTAATTTATGGCTAGTAAGTGGATTATACCAAACTATAATGGAACTCTTTTTCAACAATTTATTTACGTTTTTCAGTTTTTTTTATGTAAGTTTACCTTTTAACCAATTACTAGATTTTACCCCGTGCATTCGCACTGGAAATTTTTTAAATCAAAATTTATAATGTTATTTATGTTTTCTTTATAGATATAATTTTTTAATAAATGACAAAGATTTATTTTTGTGTTTAGATATAATTTATTTTTTATTTTTTTCTACTATATTATGACCATGATCATAAAAACATAATTCTAATCCGATCATTCTATTAATCGAAAAAATATCGTTATTATAAAAAACTGTAGTTACTAAACATAATTCTAACCCGATCATTTTAACTCACTCATTCTATTAATTCGAAAAAACTGTAGTTACTAAACCATAATTCTAACCCGTCCGTCATATTATTATATAATATAATTATTTACTAATTTTGAAATAATATTTATCTTAATTTGCATGTTTTGAATATAAGACTGCAATTATAAAAAAAAAAACTAATCCACCCCATCAAATTACCATATAATATTAATATTTATTAGTTTTCAATATGTGAAATTTTACTCTGATTGAATATGATTAAAAAATACAATAATGTATTCTTTTAATCATATTTGTTTTTCTAAAAATATTATTTAAATTTTCAAATGTTAAATTAAATCTGATCTATAATTAAAGAAGTATAAAATAATTTAAATTAATATCATTTTTAGAATTAAATTTAATTAAAAAAAAGTTTGAATTTTAAATTAAATATGACCTATATTTAAGGAAATCTTTAGTTATCTAAATTCATATCTAATTTTCGGATTTTTTAATATGAAAAAGAAAATATGTTTTTTTTTTAAATATTACAATAATTTAGGATAATTTTAAAACTGTTTTTCAAAATATTTTTTTAAAAAATTTGGGAGTATTTGGAAGCAAGTACTAAATGTGCTTCTGTTTTAATATAATAGATTTTACAAATTTATCAACACATAAATTATTATACCAAAAAGACAAAAAATTAACATTGAACTTTATGTTTGACATAATCACATTCCTGATAAGATGAACGTATGTCCATTAACAATATAATCTAATATATATATATATATATATATATATATATATATATAGTGAAATGAAGTTCTTTAAGTGTTGACACATCAGCCTCCTTTAATTGGTTCACATCAGTATTAATTAATTATATTTTTTATAATCATTAAAGAACATAAATAAATATTAACATATATCCAACTATAATTTTACATAATTACTATTTAATTTGAATTTAACTGTTTTAAATTATTCTGTTGTTTTTTCTTAAGGAATTTAATTATTTTTTATTTAATTTTCCTTGTATTTGGATCACTTGAATTGAAATATTTTAAATACGGTCCATCTATTATATTGTGAACTTTGTATAAATAAGATTCTACCTAATATTGGTAGTTTGCCATTCCAAAATTTGTAAAATAGATTTAACTTCGGACAATTACTGATCAATGATTCTGGAAACCTTTAAAATATTGACATCAAAGAGAAGATAATCAAAATCAAATTATATTGTTGAAATATAGCAGCATTTTGGCCTGTATAATTATTCATTCAATTTACATAGTCGAGTTATTCAACAATGTTTACTAAAGAAAACTCCATAAAT